TTCTCTCCCCCATAGACTTCAATGCCATAAACATATTTCATCCCGTTTTTCTATTTTTTAAAAAATGTGTTTCATCCATGTACATTTTGTTTTATACACTCATGTTAAACGATAGTCTATTAAAAAATTATGTATAAGGAAAGTAGATAAAAAGAAATAGCATCCAGAAGTTAGAAAAAAAAAAAGAGAAGGATAATTAACTTAATGAAATTAAAATTTTGGTAAATGTCAGCTAAGCTTTTTTTTTTTAAAGATCTTTTACTATTTTTATCCGTATGGCAGTCTCTGAGGATAGGAAGGGCTTTCCGTGTTGTAGGTGCTAGAGAAGTAAAGGCTGGAGTGCTTTGGATGTGTGAGCACTGTTGCCGACATTGGGGACTTTGGGTTCCAGTTCTTTTCTGTTATTGCTTTGGTTGAGGGGAGAGAAGCACGTAGAAATTTACTGGGAATTGGATATGGACCTTGAGATAATAGGGATAGTGAAGAAACAATTCATGTATGTATTAAAATTCTTTTCTGTATTTAATATAAGAACAGTGTTTTAATCTTAGTTTTGAAATAACTAATGCAGTAAGTAGTACTTTACTCCTTTGGTTTTTTAGAATGCTGATAGCTCAATCTGACTTTATTCTTGTACATTAATTGTGTAATGTGATTACTTTTTTGCAGATGCAGCAAATTACTACTACTTAATTATACTAAAAGCAGGAGCTGAAAATATGGTGGCCACACCATTAGCAAGTACTTCAAACTCTCTTAATGGAGATGCCCTTGCATTCACTACTACATTTGCTCTGTAAGTAAATTAATCTTTTCTTGAGTTTAATATCTTTAAGAACATATTTATAGTCTTAAGTCATGCAGGTGGCAGTTAAAGTCTTGAAAATGCACGTTTGCCTGTTTTTATAAAAACAAATGCCCTAATTAGCAGCTTTTATACTCAAACACACATACCCATGCACACATTTAAATATGAAGAGTAAATTGTTTTATAAATTTATTGCTTCAAATTATTAATATACTTACTTAATCTTAATGAAAGAACAACTTACATTTAGTGTCATGGACTTGTTCAAACTCAAATTAAAAATCCATTTGGAAAAAAATTAATACTTTTATTATTGAGGATCTTAAGTGATAAAATATTAAGGAAAATATTTTACACTTGTAATATAGGAAAAATACAGACTATCCTTAACAATTTTTATATACTTTTCAATTATCCAAGGCTATTGTCTTTTTTTTTTATAGTGGTACTTAAGATTTTATTTTTAATGGCATAACTTGAGGTTGTTCTTACTTTATTTTTCTAGGCAAGATGTGTCCAATGACTTTGAAATTAATATTGAAGTTTATAGTTTGGTAAGCAGTTACTACTTTCTAAAATAACCAGTAGTCTTAAAGTTTGATTTTTAGATTAATCATGCTTTGTGTTTTTATGTAGGTACAAAAGAAAGATTCCTTAGGCCCTGATAAGAAAAAAAAATCATACAAATCTAAGGTGAGAATGCAAGAAATTTGGTAAAAGAACTATAATAAGAAATAAGAGATGTCATTATACAAGTTTTAATTTATGTGTAAAAGTTAATGATTATGATGTTTTAGAAAATTTTTTTTCAAATTTCTAGTTCTTTCATTTAATAACTAAAATGAACAGCTTTGATAGTGAATAATCGTAATCTTGAGTGGACATTCAGGGTGTACTTGGGCTAGATGATTCTGTTTTCTTTATGCTTACTTGAACGTGAACTTGTATAACTCAGCCCTTTCCTCCAGGCTTCCCTATGAACTCTCACTAAGTCCTGTAAACCAGTACTTAACAAGAATGGGCTAGTGATTTACAGGCATAGAGTCTAGCTTGATTTCTAGCCTTACCAGTCTTTACAGTTTTGTCTTTACTTCAAATTATTTATTGAAATGGGTTTTTTTCCTTAGCTTTAATTTAGAATGGATTGACTAAGGTAGGTTAAGCTTTAAGGAAGCACTCAAGTATATTATTTTCATTTTTAAAAATTATTTGAATGTGAGAATATCTCAAGGTTGACTTTAAGCTCTGGATCACGCTTGCTAGGAAATGAATGTACTGTGCTATGCTTTCTTCTAGAATATGACTCCAAAGCGCTTCTTTACATCTGCAACCACAGTAAGTAGAGCTTTGAAAAAATAGTTGCCTTTCTTTGAGAAATCTTTATCTTGCATATAGCATAGTAAATTGGTTAACAATGTTTAAACTTTAGCACTGTGGTAATCTTTAAAAATATGCTAATAGGGGAGAGTTCTAGAAAATTTATCTAGGGGAAAATGTTTTCTAAAATATGGTCTTGTAAACAAATGTTTTCTAGCTAATAAAACTTTTATTTCTTGTTCACATACTTTTCAGAAAAGTAACCTTCATTCAGGTGAGTGAATTTTTAATGTTTTGAAATGATTGAATAAGAAAAATAACTAAGCAATTGTATTTTTATATAGATCATCTACATTGGTTTTGTTAGTAACCTGTAAGACACTGGTCTGAACAACTTGCTGCCTTGGCTGTACCTTTATCAGAAAACACCATAGTCATGATTCACATTGCTTAAGCTCTGATAGACAAAAGATCAGTTGTTTGAACCTACCAGCTGCAGTCGGGAAGAAAGATAGGGCAGTCTGCTTCTGTAAAGACTTAGGGTCTTGGACACCCCCTGGGCAGCTCTGCCCGTCTATGGACTGGGAGTGAGTGGGAATCTACTCTGCAGCCATGAGAGCTTTACTTGGAACTGATTCTTGTATTTGTCCTGTTGTGACTGGCGTGTATCATGTCAGAATAGTACATTTCAAGTTCACTAGTTACTGGGATGCTAATAAGGAAGAAAAGACTTTCTCTAGAATGCTGTAGGCCTCAGTTTTCCAAAGGATATCGGGATATGGTTTCACTCACTTTTGGGGGATGGGTTTTAGCATAAAAGAAATTGTAGAGAACATCTCTCCTATCCTCCACTGGCCATGCAATGTTTTCTATATCTTTTATGAGAATTTTTATGTTCTATGTCCTTTAAAAAACATCTGTCCAAAAAGTTAGAAGTGCCTGTCTCTCTCTTAAGTGAACATAAAATAATTAACAGTTTTGTTTCATTAAACATATGTTGATAATTTGTTTCATGACTTTTTTTGATGATTTCTTTAAGTTTTTCTCCCATATTTAAAAGACTTTCTTGAAATCTTCATCTTGCACTTGGTGTTGTAAATTGGAAAAGAAAGCAATTTTTCTGATTATTTAATTTCTTTGTATTGTGATGGGATTTAGAACTGTATTTGCATTTATAAATTAACTGAACTAAACTTGGTTTCTTCTTTCTTTACAGCGATGGCTAGCCCAGGTGGCCTCAGTGCTGTGCGCACAAGCAACTTTGTCCTTGCTGGATCTCACACACTGTCACTGTCTTCACTGGGGAGCACTAAATTTGCTCTGGACAAGGTAATTCAGCTTTATCTATAAGGGGGTAGTAGTATCTTTTTTAGTTTTAGCAAAATTAGACAAATGGATATGCAATAGTGCTTTCAGGTAATTTGACTCTTTGACATTGTGTGTTCTTTGAATTGTAGTTTTAACTAGGCATGATGATGGAAATATTTCTCCCTTGTATCTTAATAATTACATTTTCAAGGTAGCATCTGCTTTTTCCTTTCTAACTATCTTTTCTGTTAATACTTATAAAAGGCAAGTAAGACTTTGTATTTACATAACATCTTACCCATAGGAACTGATATTTTGAAATGAGCAGTGTTTTATGGGTTTAGTTTTGAAAATCTAGAGAGAGCTAGATGTATCTCTTAGAAGAGTACTTATGAACTGAAGGAATTTTCTTCCTGTACTGCTCTCTCCAAAGTCAAATCTTTACTATTCAGCTATGCATTATGTCACTGTTGAATGCTTCTTTACCAGGTGGTGTAATTAAGCTTTTATATAGTTAACAATACCATTTTAAAAGGTAAAGAACTTCACTCTATTGGGATAACTCTTGTGATATAATGCAATCATATTTTAAAAGATTGCAAGCAATTTCTGTTGCCAGAATGTAGAGACAATAAAGTACAGAAATTAGGTGGCTTGATCTCTGATTTTCACTCTATGAGGAATCTACTCTTAAACTCTGGGCAAAGTTACTTCATTTTTCTGAGGTCTTATTTTTCTAATCAATTAGAAGATTAGGTGAAGATGATCAAACTTTAAATTCTGTGTAACATTTTTCTTTTCTTTGACAAAGCATACTATATGTGCAGTTTTCATTATCATCAGTGCATAAACATACCCTAACTTGCTAATTTTTAAAAACCCGTGTAACTTTATTTGGTGATTTACCTGGTGTAACAAGAGAGTTATCCTAGCTCTTTTTTCTCTGTGTTTTTATTTTTTTTATTTTGTTTATTTTAGATAAATTATGATGTAAAAGAGCGAGAGCTACTGGGATATTTGTTCCAGGAAAAGGTTGCCATATTTTCTTTGCTTTAAACTAATAAGTTTTTAAATAATCATTAATTTTGGCCCACATGTGCTTGCCTTACTAACAAATATCCTGTCTTCCGAGTTATTTGAAATAATTAAGGACGTTACATTATTCTTTCTTCAGACTTGAAGATGGACATTTTTTGCCTTCACTCTTACACTTCTCTAAAGCTTTCCTTGAAAATTCTCTGCTTTTCTTCATGCATGTTTGGTATTGGGATTTCTTTCCTCTGTTCTTTCTTTGATGTTATAATTTTTAAAGGTTCTTTAACACTGGGCTACTGCCTGAACAGTCAGTGGTTCAAACCCAGCAGCTAGTCTATGGGCAAAGTTGTGGCAGTCTGTTACTAGAAAGATTTGTGATCTTAGAAATTCTATGAGGCAGTCTTACTTTGTTCAGTGACCTGGAATTGATTTGACAGCAACGAGTCTGGCTTTGTGTTTTTTTGAGTATTAGATTATATTTAAAATGAAAAGTTACTAGGTATAATGGGCTTGAGCATGGCAATGATCATGATAGTGACACAGGGTAGGGAAGCATTTCAGTCTGCTGTTTAAAGGGTGGTTTTGAGTTATTTTCAACTCAGTGGCATCTAACAGTAACCTATCTTGAAATGTGAGAAGCCTTGGTGGCAAAGAAATGAAATGCTTGCCTGCCGCTAATGGCAGTTTAAATCCACCAGCCATTCTACTGAGCTCTGGTGGCTTAGTGGTAAGAAGCTGTGCAGCAACTTCAAAGGCATGTGTTTTGACTCCACTAGCTGCTCTGTGGCAGAAGGATGGGTAGTCTTTTCCTGTCTGATCTACTGCCTCTGAAAACCTACTGGAGGGTCAGCTATCAGTCGGTTCTGACTTGACAGTGCATTGTTGTTGTTAAATGTTGTTGAGTCTAGTACAACTCATAGCAACCTCATGAACGAAAGATCTGAACCCTGCTCTATAACTATCACTGTTTCTCTAATGTTCATAGAGTTTCCAAAGGCGTGTTTAGGAAGTGGATGTCAATCCTGCTTCCACGTTTATCTCAGTATGAGAGCTCTACCAAAGCCTGTCCACCAGGGGTAACCATTATGGCATTTGACATGCCAGTGGCACAGTATTTAGTATCACAGCAACGAAACTGACAGTCTAGTGCTGTACCATGAATGTTCTTCCTTGAGTCCAAACAACTTTTAACAGTTTTAACTTTTTAGAATTTGGATGCTCTATCTATGGTGGGTCTCAGAAGATGGATTCAGCAGCACTTGACCTGAGTTTTCGGCTTATCAATTTTTTTTTCCCCTCACCCTTCCCCAATTTTTTAAAAAAAAACATGTTTAGCTGTCATTTTAATTCAAAATGTTACACATTATAATTTCATTATATTTTCATTCTCTTACTGACTCCTTTGTTACTTTAGTGACTTAAATAGTAAACCATGTGATTGAGTTAAAAATCGAATAAAAATTTTATTGGTTGTGTCTTACACTTTAAAGTCTTTTTTTCTGAGTCAAATGTAATACAATTTAGATTCAAAACTTGTCTCAAATGGGCTTTTTGTGCGTAGTTGTTGTTAGGTGCTGCAAAGTCCACCACGGTTCATAGTGATTCTGTGAACAGCAGATTTGAACCTTGCCCTCTCCTGTGTTGGCCTCACCACCCAGGGGTGGTGCCTGAGCCAACTGTCACAGCTACTGTGTCTGTCCATCTGGTTGAGGAGCTTCCTCTTGTTTGCTGACCCTCCCTCCACTTTTCCATAAATGATGCCCTTTTCCAAGGATTGGCTCCTTCTAAAAACATATCCAAAGTATGAGAGATGCAGTGTCATCATTTTTCCCCTTTAAGAAACAAACTGACTCCAATTTCTCCAAGATATATTTGTTTACTTTTTTTTGGCCATTTGTGAGCTATTCAGTAGTCTCCTCCAAAATCACAACTCAAAGGCATGCATTGTTCATCCACCATCAGTAGTCATTATCTAACTTCTAGATATGTAGGAAGTAAATCAAAAGACCATGGCTTGAATCAGCTATGCCTTAGTTTTCAAATTGACATCAAACTGACCTCACTGCCTCTGGAGAAATCTTTGACAGCAAATTTTTACAATTCAACATGTCTTTTGATTACTTGACTTCTGTTGCCAAGAGTGTTAATTGGGATAACCACTTTAGTCTTATCTCTGTAAGGGGAAGCAAATATTTATTCCAGTAGCTTATTGATTATATTAGAGAGTACTTAAAACTATTTAGTCTAGGTATTCTAAGTTTGTGGGGGACAATGGAAGACTTTCTATATTCATACAATCTTTCTCAGGTTGTAATTTTTATTTTTTAAAAAATTAATTTTATATTGGTATGCATACAAAATTGATATACATTGTGTTCCACACTATTTTCATTCACATTGTGTTTTATATAATCATTCTCATTCATTGTATTTTGTAAAGTTAGTCACCATTTAACTATGCCCACTATTATGCCGTCTTTTTAGATCCCCAGCAGATCTTTCTCATTTCTTTTACCTGCTTCCTTTACTCACCAAATTGTGCGACCCTGTGGTTTCCCCCTCTTTTCATCCTCCCCCCTTGCTCCCACCCCTCTCCACCTTTACACGCTTTACTAGTTATCCTCTATTTTTACAGTAATGGTCTTAAGCAGTATTTGTCCATATGAGACTAAGTTAGTTCACTCAGCATAATGCTCTCCAGTCTTTCCCAACTTTCGTAGTGTTGTTGTTGTTGTTGTTATGTGCCATCGAGTCGCCTGCGACTCATAGCGACCCTGTGTACAATAGCCCTAAACTCCGCTCTGTCCTGTGCCAATCACACTGTCTCTGATACTCCCATCCCAATTATCCCAGTCACTGAATCAATCCACCTCATAGAGGGCCTTCCTCTCCTGCGCCGTCCCTCTACCCTCCCAAGCATGATGTCCCTCTCTAAGGAACGGTCTCTCCTCACAACATGTCCGAAGTAAGTTAGACGGAGCCTCAGAATCCTTGCCTCCAAGGAGCCACCCGGTTTAACCCTCTCCTGGACAAATCTATTTGTTTTCCTAGCAGTCCATGGTATTCTCAGTACTCTTCTCCAGCACCACAGCTCAAAGGCATCAGTTCTCCTTCTATCCTCCTTGGTCATTGTCCAACTCTCTGATGCATAACAGGTGATTGCGAAGACTATGGCCTGTATCAGACGCACCTTAGTCTCCAGAGAGACACCACTGCTCTTCAGCACTTTGGAGAGGTCCCTAACAGCAGACTTTCCCATGGCAATGCGCCTTTTAATTTCCTGGCTGCTGGTGCCAAGACTGTTGACTATGGAGCCAAGCAAACTAAAGCTGTGTACAATCTCAATCTCTTCACCATCCATCCTGATGCTGCCGATTGGTCCAGTGGTGAGAGTCTTTGTCTTCTTGACATTGAGCCTCAATCCATATTGTAGGCTGCAGTCCTTGACACTCTGCAGCAGGTGCTTCAGGTCCTCCTCAGTTTCAGCAAGCAGGGTTGTGTCATCCGCATAACGCAGATTGTTAAATCATCCACCAATCCTGACCCCACATTTCTCCTCATAGAGCCCAGCCTCCCGGATAATCTGTTCTGCGTATAGGTTGAAGAGGTATGGAGATAGGATGCATCCCTGGTGTACGCCCTTCCCAATTTTGAACCATGCAGTGTTCCCTTGCTCTGTTCTGACGACTGCCTCCTGGTCCAAGTATAAGTTTCGCATTAGAACGATCAAGTGTTCTGGGATTCCCATTCTTCTCAGAGTCAGCCACAGTTTGTTATGATCTACACAGTCAAATGCCTTTGCATAGTCAATGAAGCACAGATAGACATTCCTCTGGTATTCCCTGCTTTCAGCCAAGATCCATCTAACATCAGCTACAATATCTCTAGTGCCACGACCCCTTCTGAAACCAGCCTGGACTTCTGGTAGTTCTCTGTTGATGTGCTGTTCCAGTCGTTTTTGGTTACTACTTTCGTAGTAGTTTTCG